TAACAACTAAGTTGATAATGTAAAATGGCCACCGTAATAAGTTTAAAAACTGACTTTTCGAGCGTTAGCCCTTCGTTAGAGCAAATTTTGCAATTTGAATGTTCACCTCTCCGTTATCGCTAGAAAGACGAAATTCATATTGTTAAATGACCCAAATGCATATGACAGCGTCTATCCCTCATGTCCCGCCAGTAAATTAAATCTAATTTACAACTTCCTTTCCATGACAGAAATCCATTGTTGAAATGCGAGAAAGGAAGAAATCGTTTCTTAGAAGCCGAAACGGAGCTACTTGTATGTACTTTACCAAAAATACCTCTTAAAATGTTTGCATACAGTTTTACAGTTTATCAAACTTAGAGAGCTCAACTGTCCTACATTGATTATGGAAATGCAATCAGCGCGTTAAAACTTAAAAAATGTTCATTACGAACTAAATGTGCCAAAACTCAATGATATACAGTCAATATACCCCACGAAAACTGACATATCTGTTGGTCGCCTACTTTTGGTTAAGTATTTTGTCGTTAGTAGTTGCAGGTCACGCAAGCTGGAAGTTCTTGTCCTTTGCTTTAACGATTTTATTTTGAAAGTCAGCATTGTAAACTACAGATCAGTCGAACTGCAATTTCAATTTAAAGTGAGCTATATATCGGTATAGGCACCAACTCCCAATAAAACGTCGTCATAACATTTTTAACTACAGTCGCAGTTCAATTTCTTTGCGATGAATTCCAACTCAGCAAATAAAGGGTTACTAAGCTGTTCTAGATAGCTTCCACAGCGTCGTGCAACTGAACCCTAAGTGGGAAAATTGATCTGCTTAATTTTGTGGCAACGGTATTAGCAGTCTCGTACATCAAATAAAATGAAACTACCCCGCTAGGTTAGCTCAAGATAAGTGCGAGTTTGAGCCTTGGTCTACGTTTCCAAAAAAAAATAATATACATTTTGAGGAACGTTTTCGAAATCTTATATTTTATTCTGTCGTCCTTTTTTTCCGGATTAATTAGGAAACGAGCTCTAACTGCGTTGTAAACTAATCTTTTGTAGAGTAAACCGGCCTTTGATTGAGAGGTGAATGATCGATAGATGACTGGAAACAACCAATCACATATCGTAATTTAAGAGGTGTGCGTAAAACAATTGCACGATGTCAGAATCGCTCCTAGCAATGTCTTCCTGTCTTTCACAATGATATCACTTGTCAAACAGTTGAGGTATGAGAATGACCTCCTTGTGAATATCGCACGGGCACTGATACAGAGTCCTGTTTACTCAGTATTGGGCTCGTTTACATCCGTGTTTGCGACACTTAGCTGTGAACGGCAGTTCCATAGCGTACACCAACGATGTTTTCGGTAAAAATTTTCATTTTGATAATGCTGCTGCTGTGGTTCTTTTTCACTTCTGACTGTGACGCATGGCGAAGACGCCGTCGTCGTCGTCGTCGATGTACAAAACAAAACTGCGATGTCATGTCTTGGTCGCACTGGAGTTTTTGTACTGCAGACCGATGTGGAGAGCGAGGCTCTCAAGTCGATCAAGAATGATAGTATCGCAGCCTTCTTGTGGTGGAACAGCATGCCCTGACAACCTTTTCGAAACTCGGCAGTGCTATGGGAGTAAGGCAGTCGACTGTGAACTAAGCTACTGGTCAGAGTGGAGCGGTTGTACAACTCCTTGTGGCGTATCAGGAACACAGACAAGCTCTCGTCACCGAATTACTACAGAGCAATGTGGCGGTACATGTTCATCTTCCCTCAGGAGAACGAGATCGTGCCCACATCCCGGCTGTTTTAATGGCGGAAGTCTAAGAGATGGAGCATGTTTCTGTAAAGAAGGGTTTTTCGGGGATTGCTGCCAGAAGCAAGGTAATTAGTGGAAGAAAACTGAAAACTTTAAGCCACCTATCGTCACACACACACACATGCATACACACACACAACATTCATACACACACCCACACACAAACACACACACACAACATTCATACACACACGCACACATACACACACACACACACACACAACATTCATACACACACACATACACACGGCACACATACACACACACACACACGCACATACACACAAACACACACACACACACACACACACACACACACACACACACACACAGGC